GATCCGTGCCCCTCCTGGCTTATCAAATCTGGCCATGAGGGGTTTTCGAGGTGCCCTAAGTCCCTCTTGGAGGGGCAATTCCCTGGGGCACTCAAGGAAGCAATGGTCCGCCCTCTCTTGAAAAAGCCATCTTTAGACCCGGCCGAATTGGCTAACTATTAGCTGGTCTCCAATTTGCCCTATTTGGGCAAGATGATTGAGAGGACGGTGGCGATACAGCTGCAGAGTTTTCTGGACGACGCTTCCGTGTTAGATCCTGTCCAGTCTGGCTTCCGCCCGGGTCATGGGACGGAGACGGTGCTGGTCGCTCTGACTGACGACCTCCGGAGGCATGTGGATTGAGGCGGAATGGCAGTACTGTTGTTGTTAGATCTGTCAACTGCGTTTGACACGGTCAACCACCAGCTACTAGTCCACCGCCTCGCCGACGTGGGGATTAGGGGGCTCGCCTTGCAATGGTTTGCCTCCTTTCTTCAAGGTCGGGAACAAAGGGTGGCACTAGGGGAACAGCAGTCCAGGAGGCACCCACTTGAGTGTGGTGTGCCTCAGGGGGCTGTGCTGTCCCCGATGTTATTCAACATTGACATGCCCCCCCTTGCCCAGATTGCCCGGAGGTATGGGCTGGGATGTCATCAGTATGCTGATGACACCCAGTTCTATCTGATGTTAGGCGGCCAGCCGGACTCTGGACCAGATGATCTGGATGGCGCTTTGCAGGCCGTGGCTGGGTGGCTCAGACTTAGTCAGCTGAAGCTGAATCCAGAGAAGACGGGGTGCTGTGCCTGGGTGGTTCAGGGGTGGGGATCCCACTCCCGACCTTTTTGGGGGGGCTCACTGGTCCCAGCGCCGGAGTTTCTGAGTTTGGGAGTGCTCCTGGATTCCTCCCTTACTATGGAGGCCCAGGTAGCCGCCACTGCCAAGTCAGCCTTCTATCATCTGAGGCTGATTAGGCAGTTGGTTCTCTTCCTTGACCATGCTGACCTAGCTACAGTGATCCACGCAATGGTCACCTCAAGACTAGACTACTGTAACACTCTCTACATGGGGCTGCCTTTGTCACGGATCCAGAAGCTGCAACTAGTGCAGAATGCCATGGCCAGGCTGTTGATGGGTCTCCCTAGATGATACATCCAGCCAGCACTGAGGACACTGCACTGGCTGCCAATAGTATACCGAATCCGCTTCAAAGTGCTGGTTCTTACCTTAAAGCCCTATATGGCCAGGGCCCAACATACCTACGGGACCGCCTTTCACCGTATATACCCCAGAGAGCACTACGGTCTGGGTCTCAAAATCGGTTGACCCTCCCTGGCCCGAGGGAGGCCAGGCTAGCTGCTACTAGAGCTGGGGCCTTCTCGGTGGTGGCCCCTACCTGGTGGAACGAGCTACTGGAGGAGATCAGGGCCCTGCGGGACGTCTCACAGTTCCGCAGGGTCTGCAAGACGGAGCTCTTCTGCCAGGCATATAACTAGGGGCCGCCGCTGCCTTAGTGCGCGGCCTGTAATGTTGGCATCAGCAGCTGCCTCAAGAACGAGCAAATAACATCCAAACACTTATATGGAATAACATTGAAGCACTTTCATTTGAAAACATCTCATTTGTTTATTTTTAACTGCCTCCAGTACTTCGTAACATTTGTAATGCACTATTTTAACTGTTGTGTTTTAATTCTGTACTATTTATGCTTTTATTCTGTATTGTTGTATTGTTTTGGAAGTCACCCTGAACCTGCTTTGCGGGGAGGGCGGGGTATAAATTTGACTATAGATAAATAAACCATCTGCACACAGTAAATAAAGAACATAAGTAGTGCCCTGCTGGATCAGACCAGTGTTCCATCTAATCTGGGATGCTGTTTCACAGAATGGCCAACCAGTTCCTTTGGAGGGCTGACTAACAGGACATGTGGCCTAAGGTCTCTCCCTCACGCTGCCTTCTACCACTGCCCCTGGCAGTGGAGACTCTCTTTATTCATCATGGCTCGTAGCCATTGATGGACCTGTCCTCTGCAAATCTGTTTAGTCCCCTTTGAAAACTATGTATGCTAACAGTCATCACTGTACCCATTAGCAGGGAATTCCATAATTTAGCTATTCTGGCATTTCTGGACTTCTTTGTGTCATCTGTGAAACTCTGGTGACAATATGTTTTAACCATATTATCTAACAACAGAGCATCTTGGTACAACGTAAATTCTTGGAATTCTTGTGCTGAGAGTCGGCGCACTCTCACTTCACCCAATGTGCTGCAAACTATGCACTGGTGCTGTCATGCTTAGACTCAGTCATTGGAAGTGGCCAGCTCACAACCAAATGAAATGGTCCCTTCTTACAGGTTTAAGTATTGGTTGGGTCATTAACCTTTTCTACTGGTTCTTGTTTTGGGTTGTGTATAATGAAATACATCTATGACTCTGAATGTTGTGCCTTTGGGACTCCCTTTCTAATAACTCCCACTCAGGCCACCTGTTTTTCTGTTTACCTGCCAACCGAACGTAAAACCTCATGCATCTGCTAAATTGGACTTCTAAGTGAAAGCGTATAACACAATAAGCATGTGAGTCTCTCAGGTGCCTCAAGTCTCAGTGTTGTTTTGGCTGAAAGAGATTAACACTGTGGTACCTCTAGAATGATCTAATAACAGACTGGGGCAGGCTACCCAGCAACGAAATACTTGGCAGGGCAGAACAGGCCCTTGGGTCCAGTAGCAAGGCTCATCTGGGCGAAACAGGAACTGGGGAGGTCCCTTCCAACTCTATGATTCTATGAGGATGGAGCTCTGTTCAAGGGTCAGGTGGGAAGAAGGGGAAATGGGAAAGGGCTGGATAGAGAAGAAGAAGGCGGGGGATAAGGAGGGTATGTTGCAGCATCGGAGCTCTTCTCCTATGTAACGCAGTATAACCCTGAGGTCGGTGAAGGTTGATGTACAGTAATTTTATCATCATCATCATCAACCACACCTTGAGGTGTCTGGACTGATGAATAAAACAAATTGCACAAGAAGAAGAAGAGTTGGTTTTATACCCCGCCCTTCACTACCCAAAGGAGTCTCAGAGTGGCTTACAATCACCTTCCCTTCCTCTCCCCACAACAGACACCCTGTGAGGTAAGTGGGGCTGAGAGAGCTGAGACTGACCCAAGGTCACCCAGCTGGCTTCACATGGAGGAGTGGGGAATCACACCCGATTCTCCAGATTAGACTTCTGCCGCTCTTAACCACTACACCAAACTGGATCTAGGAAGCAGTGACTGGGATGGTGATTTCAAGACCCCATGGACTCTAGATATGATGTACCCATGCTCCAGAGGGCACTACACAGACTTAAAAATAACTTAAGAAATCAAAGATAAATCCAAAATATATTCAAACTGGTTTGTTACACCATACTTAGCAAGAACATATACTTTCCAATAACTGCTGGTTAACCCCACCTCTACAGGTTCATAGACTACTACGGGATCCAAATTCCCTTGAATGTCTCCTGCACTTTGACAGCTCTCTATGTCTCTGACTTCATGGCTGCCACAGTGGCCCTAAGTTCCAGGACTCTTTTTGTAGAAAAAGCCCAGCAGGAACTCATTAGCATAATAGGCCACACCCAACACCAGAAACTCATTAGCATATTAGGCCACACCCCTGACAGCACAGCTCATTAGCACATTAGGCCGCACCCCCATGTTACCAGAAGTGTGGTTATCCAGCCACACCCACCTTTTGCTTGTTATTCTGTTTACCTTGTTTGTTGTCAAAACCCAGGGCTTTTTTGTAGCAGGAACTCCTTTGCATGTTAGGCCACACACCCCTAATGTAGCCAATCCTAATGAGTTTCTGCTGTTGGGTGTGGCCTATTATGCTAATGAGTTCCTGCTGGGCGTGGCCAACTTGGGAGCCAGCCGGAACTCCGTTCCTGTGTGTTCCTGCCCAAAAATAGCTCTGGCCCTAACTATTTTGACATGGTCACTCTGGGCTGCTATTGGTTTATCTGCTGCAATGGTCTTAGGAAGCCTGATGGTTGTGAAGGCCATCTGAAACCAACTCTGTGAGCAACTTACATAACGTGTATTGATTAGATTTTTTATCCTGCCCATTCCCCAGGAAGTTCAGGATAGCATCCCCATTTTGTCCACACAACACCTCGGTTGTTACATGAAGAAGAAGAAGAGAAGAAGAGATTGGATTTATACCCCACCCTTCACTTGGAGTCTCAGAGCGGCATACAAACTCCTTTTCCCTTTCCCTCCCCACAACAGACACCCTGTGAGGTGGGTGGGGCTGAGAGAACTCTGACACAAACTGCTCTTTTTCAAGGACCGCTGTGCCGGAGCTTGTGACTGACCCAAGGTCACATCAGCAGGTGCAAGTGGAGGAGTGGGGAATCAAATCCGGTTCTCCCAGATTAGAGTCTGGGAGAAGAGAATGACAGATTAGAGACTGGGAGAAGAGAATTACATGACAAGAGAATGACTGGTCCAGTGTCACCCAGGGATTTGAACCTGGGTCTCTCCAATTGTAGTCCAGCATTCACACCACTATATCACACTGGCTCTTTACTGAACCTGTTATTGCATGGCTTTCGAAAAATATCTAAACTTAGGCTCATGATTTAGGCTGCTTTTTTTTGCCACCAGGTCACAGCTGACGTATGGTGACCCTACAGCGTTTTCAAGCCAAGAGCCGTTTACAGGTGGTTTGCCATTGCCCACTCTGTGTAGTGATCTTGGTATTCCTTGGTGGTCTCCCATCCAAATACTAATCAGGGCCAACCCTGCTTAGCGTCCGAGATCTGATGAGATTGGGCTAGCCTGGGCAGGTCAGGGTGAAAAGGCCTACCGCAAAGTAAATACAATATTTTCCCCTGGCCCCAGTTATTGAGGGAGGAGAGCATTGAACAGTCTATTTTAGGCACCTGCATCATTCCTACCACTGGGGGGCAGTCACAAAATTTTGTCTAACAGTTTTTGATGATCTGGAAGAAAAAGTGGAAACTAAAACACAAGGCTTTATGTTGGGCAGTAAAAAGCTTTCTGATGAGAGACTGAATAAGGGGGGACAATAGAACAGAGACAGATATACTGTACATTTGCCATTTGTTGAAGATGTAGGTTATGATCTGGAGCAGTGCAAATGCGCACATTTTTCTTAAGCTATTCTTTTCGAACAGTAGCTTGGGGTTTGATCTGAAATCTGGGACATTTATTCATTTCTGTGGGAGAAAAGAATAAAGGGAAACTCTCATGTGCACCACCTGGACACTTATACACACACGCAGATCCAGTCATGGGCAGGCAAATCAGTCTGTTGCTGTCATGACAGCCCGAAGTCCCCTCTGACCAGTGGGAGGATCCAAAGGTAAGCTCTCCCAGCCTGCTTTTTCATCTGCTGTTTCCATGTAAGGAACTCCAATGCACTAGTAAATTTGCAGGAATTATATCAGGAAGAGAAATGTGCACATTCCCTGTCATGGTCAGACCATTGCACACATGGAAGACTCATGACCACTAAAGGGGAAGATGATACGCAGAATAAACAACTGACATGTATTTGACTGATGGGTATTAGGGGTTGCCAGGTCCCTCCTGGCAATCGGTGCTGTACAGCGATGTGTCTACATCACTGCCCATGTGACACAGAAAGTGACACCATCGTGTCTGGGATGTGAGGGCAACGCTCTGGTATTTGGGCAAAAACTCTATGGTAAATTCGGCTTCCACCATAGTGTTTTCGCCCAAATACCAAAGCGTTGTCCTGATGTCTTGGATGTGATGATGTCACTTCCAGGTCACATGGGCAGTGACGTAGACACTTCACTGCACGTTGGGTAGGTCTCCCTCTTTTTCAGGGTAAGTTCCCTCCCACAGGCCAACTGATCAGCGGCGGGGAGGTGGGGTTTGTCAGTGGGGGACACCCACCTCCACCAGGGGGTCAGTCAACCATAATTCGTATAGACTGGGAATCACAAATTTAGTTCATTCTGAATTGGCATAACTATATAGTTCTCATCTTTAAACTAAATGAAAAGCTTGCTGAAAACATCTAAACCATACTGCATCCCATCAAGAACTACAGGAAAATCTAACACCTTTCTGATGTTTTCCTTTCAGTTAGCTAATATTTGTGTTACTGCAACAAGTTCTATGGTAGTCTGGACACGTTTCACCTTACTGTTGCCAGTTGAAGAAAGCTGCTGTTTTACCAGACACACCTCTCAAACTAATTTTGACTTCCCAACACAAATGTTAAATTGATCAATGAAAGAAAATAACTCACAAGAACAAAGTTAACATTTAACAAAAGCAACAACAAAAAACTTATAAAGCCTTTGTCGAAGTTAGCACTAGCCCTCAGCATCTGTTACAATGTATGTCTGCTTTGAAGTAATCTATATGAAATCCTTGGGTTTATTCACAAGAAAAATCAGTCTGCACATATGCTTCTTTTATTCCACAGATTCCACATCACTACCTCAAGAGGAAGCATGACTCTAGGGGATGTAGCCCATATGATATTAGCTGACAACAAATGAAACTGAATCTCAAACCTTGGCCTAAAGAACTAGGCTTTGGAGGCCTGGGTAACCCAAAACTAAAGTCTTTTAGTGAATCAGGACACATTACTTGGGAGAAAGAACTAACAAATGTTTGAGTTTCTTATTTCTGTCATAGTGGTATGGCGCTGGGTCATGTATTTTAATAGTTTATACACTGGTTTTTAACATATTTATTACAATGTTGTTTTAAGTGTTGTAAGTTACCCCGAGACCCTGTGGGTGAGTGGTCACTAAATAGCTAATAAATAAAAAAAATAAATAGTTTAAGAAAATGTAAATCAGGATACTAGAACACACTTACCTGTTATTTTCTGCAGCAAGGTAGATAGCTCAGGTTCATCACAAATGGAATGGACAAGGGACTCCTTCACTTTTTCTTCAGCCTCATCTAACTCTTTTTCCCAGTATTAACTTCTTCAGATATGGAATAAATATACACCAGCAAGACAAGGAGGTCTTCGGGGGTGTAGTCATCATCTGTCCTGTTGTTATGAGACTTGATTATCGGCAGTAATTGGTTCAGGACACCAGGCAGGGCTGATTCCCCAAGATTCTGAAAAAAGAAAAGGAATCCCATATTTTCATGGTACAATAAATAATTTTTTTTTTTTTTTTTAAAAACCCTTTAAAACCATACAATTATAGAAAAATCCTAAGGCTGTCTCAAAGAAGGCCTAAAAACTTCCAGGAAATCTGGGAAGGCAAAATTCCCTCCACACAGCAAAGCTTTCATATCTTTATAAATGCCACGTCCCAATCCATTTTGTTAGGTAACTTTATTATGCAGACACGTTTCTATTTCAGAAATGAGAGGTAAAAATGAAATAGAGCAGACCTTGCTCAAAGTTGACCACTCATTTCATACTGAATTTCAGCCTAATGGCTGTAATTAGAAATCACTTTCCCCCCAAAATGGTGACCAGTTTTTTTGTTTAAATTTTTTGTCACGTCTGAAAAATTCAATTCTGACAATGCCTATTATTTATTTAAAATATTTATACATTCTGCCTTTCTCTTGACACAGTCACGATCAGTGGCAACAATAAAAATACAAAAACAATAATTATATTAATTAGCATACATAATTACTACAAAAACAGGCAATTAAATCAGATGATAAACACGGATAAGCCAAAGTTAGTTCAAGCTGTCCCTTAAACACTTCAAAATTGTTTTGTCTTACAGCTGGTCATAAGGCCCCAAAGGAAGGCGGCACCTGGCACCTTTTGGGGGGCTTCCATAGCAGTGGGGCAGTACCTGAAGCCCAGGCCTGGGATGTAACAGGTCATATCTTTCAGAGCAAGGCCACTGCCAGGAGACTCTGCTTGCCTCACAGTTTACTATTAGAATAATTGTCTTTTAAAAAAACAAACAGTCCTCTTTTAAATAAATTTAAGCCATGTACGTACACACATGTTGTAGGAAGTAGTACCACCACACTACAGCTGGAAAGAACGGAAAATCTCCACTATTTTATTGGAAATGCAAGTCTGATTTTTTCCAACATACTGAGGTTGCTTCAATGACAAAACAAACAAACAACCCCCCCCCCAACCAACCCTTCTGTGGGTGCGGACAGACGGCATGCTGAGAGCGGGTTAAACTGCTCCAGTTCTAACCAGATTGTATTTGATCTGGATAATCGCAATCACACTTACCTCCCTTATCCCACCTCACTGCGCAGTCATGTCGCTCCCCGGCGTCTACACTACCGACATGCAAGAGCACGGGTCGGTGGGGTTTTAAATTTTTTTCTCTGTTTGCGCATGCGCATAGGCACCCCTCCGTAGAATGGGGGGCACTATCATGGCGCATGCGCAGAACCACCAGGGTGACTCAATCCAACCCCTCCAACAAAAGACTTCCCTTTAAAAGTTTGACCCAAAAATGGCCTCCATGAGATCCCGAACTCATCTAACCTCTAAAACAAGTGACCATTTAAATGTCAGTTTTCTAAACAGGTAGCGGAGCTCCATGTATGCGCTCACCGCCAACGCATTTAAAAAATGGCGGGTGAAAAGCGGAAGCCTTGGGCAGCTTTCGAGCAGGGAGGGGGTTTAAACCAGAAGTGGCTTGACATCAGAGGAGCAATCACACAGGGGAAAAATGCGGCTTTAAACGGGAGAGCTGAGAAAACACCACTTTGGGACCTGGTAACAAAATACTCCGTGTTAAAGCAGTTTTGAGTCGGAAACCAACGGCTGGGGACGGGAGGCAGATGTTGACTGTGTGATCATGCATATAAAATCCATTTCTGAAGCGTGACGACACCAGATCAAATGGCGCATCTGAACGTGTATGGATTTTTTAAAAAATTAATTTGTTTTTAGGCAAACAACATTGGTATGGAAATAAACAAACTAACAGCTTGGATTAATAATAACACTAGTATCACCAGAAACATACTGATAGTCACGATATAAAGGTTCACAATAATGCAAATAATGTACAGTTCTGTCATGTCAAAAAATCTTAATAGGTGAAATAACGGACTACTTGTAAATGGGTTTTAACATTCCTGTGTATTATAGGCTTGTAGGCTCCTCCTGCCCCGGAAAGATCCTTCCTAAGGTTGTGGGATCCAATGGAGGAATAGTTGCATGGACAGCATGCTATAGGGAGGAGGGCAAAGGGGGTGAAATTGCTCCTCTCTCTTCCATCAACAGAACTGTGCAAACATAAGAGGGAGGAAGAGCAATTTCACTCACACTGGTATCCCCCCAAACAGTGAATGGTCTGGGGGCACCTAATATTGCAGTACAGTGCTTAGATGGGATATTCACGGGGACCCCCCATAAACTGCTTTGATCACTGAGCTTTCCATAGAAGAATGGGATATTATGATGACAAAGAATAATTTGCCTGAATGACAGCCTCAGCTTTACTCAGAGGAAAGCCACAGAAGAATAAGGAGTGCTCATGACATATTCTAGACATAGATTTTGTGGTTGCCCAGATTTGTTTAAATTAAAGTAATTTCAACAATTTAATTTCAGCCTGGAATGCTGAGTAAAGTGACAGACCTTCACGGGACTCATGTAATGATTTCACGTTCCACAGATATAAACAAACATCTGTGGCCTGGATCCTTCTACACATGCAAAGAGGGGGGATAATTTTTACTAATCTCCACTATGGAGGGAGACCTCTCTTTCCCCCAAGCTATTCCTGGGGTTTCCCCATCCTCCGGAAGCAGCATTTCAGGAAACATTTGGCCTGCATGCATGCATGCAAATCTAGGCAGGATCCAAACTCTATGCATTCTGAAACTGATTTATTGCATGTTTGGAATATTTTTAATGGGATAAAACAAAGTAATAATTTTGTTTGTTTGTTTTGTTAACCAGTACATGATTGCATAAATGGTGCTATGTGTCCTGATTTTAAGAAAAAGGACAAATTATAATTTAATTTAGCAATAACTAAATACAAATTATAGTCCTATAGTTGTGTTTTCTTTTGTTTTTTTGTTTTTAATGTCGTGTCTAAATAGGGGTATTTTGTATAAAAAAGCCATCTGGGTTGTAACATACACGATACAAAGAATAAGTCAAACCCTGAAAGGGTTGTAGGAGAATACCACAGAGAGTTAAGAAATTTGCCTCCGACAAAACCCTCTAGCAGTTTGTCATTAACTAGCCTGTCTATAATGATTTAGGAGCTCTCTGTGCTGTTACAAATCAATCAATTACACTGATTGAACAACCATTAAAGCATAAGTTTTTTAAAATGTAACTACCCGTGACCCAAATTTCCTGCTGGGTATGTTGGCCTCAGGTTAGCCTTGTTGGTTTATTATCAAGGGGACAAATAAAAATAATAAAAAGAACATCAATTCTGCACTTTCCAAAGCCTCCATTTAAAAATAATCACACTATTCAGTTTTGCTACCCTGTCTTCACTTATGTTCCTCGGCCATTTTAAAATAATACTAAAAGCAGAATGCACAAGACATCCTTCCCCACCCTTGCCTGCCGTTTTCTGTACTAACCCAGAGCCAAAGCAAATATTTCCAAAACAAATATTTTTTTCAAATGTTATTATCTACTCTACACTTTAAAATGTGTGGAACTAAAAGTAAAATAAGAGTCATCATAACTGAAAAATACTAGATATTTAGAACCTTATATCAGACAAGAATAGAACTTGTGTGGGAGCACCATTCATTTGTTCAAAACTGATGTGAATTTGTGAACTTTTGTGTTGTTCTCCTTATCCTTGAGTAGTGGTCAGCTGTCCTTACACTATGAGTTTTTATGTATTCATTTTTAGTTATTTATTTTTTCAAAAATCCAATAAACCCATAATTATGTAAAGGTTTTTGCCCCTTTTGCCATAACCCCCCCCCCAATCTAATGTTGCCATCATCAACTGTTCTAACAGCTGCTCTAATAATGACCCTCTCTCTACCTACATGTAATGGTTGATGTAATTCGGTTTCACTGTATCTGAAGAAGTGTGCTAGCATGCAAAAAGCTTATACCTTGAATAAAATGTTGGTCTTAGAGATGCCACTGGACTCAAACTTTGTTCTGCTTTAATAACAAACTCTCAGAGTTGTATGGTTTTTACTTAACTAAGTTATCCCTTTCAACAGCTGAAAAACATTTATATTTACCAGGACTATGCAATAGGTCATGTTTACCTTTTCATAAAATAAAAATCAAATCCAAATCTTGCTCTGGTTCTCTCCAGTGAGCGTTCTTTTGCCAAAACTGTTTCTAGTTGTTAAATTATTATTTTAAATTGTACTTTTCAATTTACTCATATCACCAATGCCCATATATACTGGACAAACAGCCCTTGTCTTGAAATACCCTTGGCAAAGACAGGGATGCCAATAGTTAGAAGGTAGACCTGACGACACCTATGGAGCCATTTTATCCAGCTCCTGTGTGGAAACCTACCAGATATTAACTGCAGTGTGGCAAAATCATTTTCAACATTGAATGAAATGGGGTTACAACTGATTGATCGATGCAATGAACATGAAATTAAGCAAACTCTGGAGGATGGCAGAAGACAGGAGGGCTTGGCGTGATGTGGTCCATGGGGTCGCGAAGAGTCAGACTCGACTGTGTGACTGAACAACAACAAGTAGTAGTTATGCCCTGACCTGCATATTCCAGGCTAACACAATCTTGTCAGATCTCAGAAGCTAAGCAGGGTTGGCCTTGGTTAGTATTTGGATGGGAGACCACCGAGGAATCCCAGGGTTGCAACGCAGAGGCAGGCAATGGCAAACCACCTCTGAACGTCTCTTGCCTTGAAAACCTTGTAGGGTTGCCTTAAGTCAGCTGTGGCTTGATGGCAAAAACAAACAAACAAGTAGTAGTTATACACACACACACACACATAAATTCTAGTTCCTGGACTACTGACTGGAGCATAAAATGGCCTTCAGAGATTTGGTCATTACTAATCTGAAACAAACGAAAGAGTTTGTCTAGTTTTTTTTTATTTCAGAAAAAAACCCATATTATCTTACTCTGTTCCTTTTACATCTGTACCTCTACAAATCTGCATACAACAACCACCATGCTAGGTCTATCA